TTTTCACAGAGAAGAGAGAACTTTAATTAAATATAGTGAGAGTCAAAAAGTTATTTTACACTTCAAAGTTTAAAATAAAAAAAATGAACATTATCATCTTTACAGTAGTTTCCTCTGTACTCTTTCCCCTCCACACTGCTGATAATGTGTATGAATGATGACCACCACTGTAAGCCTGAACGCAGACAAGCCATGATAAATGTTATTACTGTTGTTGGACGAGTGCTTCGGATCATACTTCTTTTAACCAAACCCTCTATTTACTCCTTCCTGTACAGGTATTTATATATGTACTATAAAAAAAACTTCCCTTAGCTTTAAAACATCACATTTTTCTTTTACACACACACTCGCAGGCACTCTCACATGTAGACACTAACAGCAGAGTGGTCTCCAGACCCATGTTTGAGATAAAATAAATAGGTGGCTCATTTAAAAAAAAAAGAAAAAGTGAGGGAAAGAAAAAAAAAAAGGGGGCAAACATACAGAATATTAAAAGCACAATCAAAACAAGGTGGGGGGAGGGGAATGAGAGAGAGGACAGAAAACCTGACTGAGGCAGGAGAAGTGGCTGCAGGAGGAAGGAGAGAGGAAAAGAGATTTTTCTAACATCCCTTTAGCCTTCATTAAGCAACTCTGTTCCATCTTAAAATCCATCACATGGAAGACAAACACAGATAATTGTAATGTACTCTACATCTAGATAATGCAACAAAATTATTTAACAACAATGATACGAACAACATTGTGACAAAATGAAATATGAAAAAAAAAAAAAAAAAAAAACATCCTCCTGCTTCCTTAACTTACAAATGATGAAATACACCATGGCTTATTTTAGTTTGATTGAAATTAGCAGTGGAAGTATGGCTTTTAATGAACAGACACTATAATACAAAAACAAAATAGATGTCTTGATAACATTCAAATCCTTACACATGAGACACAGAGCAAATGAGGACACCTGAATCAAATTCTTGATAATGTCCATAATTGTTCATCCCAATTTTAGATTACTGCTTTAATGACGGACCTTTAGTCTTCTGGCTGAGGAGGTAGCTTTCACTCACTTATTTTCATTTGAAATGTTGATGTATTTCCTTTCCGTTTTTATTGAGCACCAACATCCAGGCAGCTGGAGGTCTAGATCTCTACAGGCACGAGTTACAAATGATTTGCTCAAATGGGAGGAATTCACTGTAACAGCACATTGATTTCTGTCCAGTTAAGAATCCAGATTCACTTTAAAATGTATATTTGTGGCAAATGTCATCAACCTGAAACAATAAAGATGAATTTGTGAACACTACCTAGAGCAGGTCTGACAGGTGTACATTGTATGGCATTCTCACACGTGTGTGACAAGAAAACACAAGTAGCATAGAAACTGTGGCGTAAGACTGTTCAGGCATTAATGTCTCAAATAAGGGCTTTGGCAAAATTAACGTCATCATAAATGAATTAAGACTGTTGAACCACACACACACACACACACACACACACACACACACACACACACACACACACACACACACACACACACACACACACACACACACACACACATACAGACTGCAGGGCTGAAGGAGCAGTGACTTTCACAACAAACTATCAGCTACTTTTCTCATTCTTGCACACAGGGGCATTTAAGACATGTCGCTGGCTAATTGTCCTGCACTGCAAAAAATGTCTTTTACAGGACATGGAAAGTTCATCTTTTCCTCTTAAGAAAACAAGTGCAAAATGGGATGCAAGCATGCTTAAATTATATAATTTAAAATACAGCTGCAATATATATAAAAAAATGGGCTGAACTTAAGGGTAGATTTGAAAAAAAGTGTACCTCAGTGGCAGATGTTTTCACAAAATAAGACTTACTGTTGCTGACGGTTTAATGACTTGGCATTCTTTGCAGCGCAGAATTTTAAGACACACCATTGGATAATTGCCTCACTCAAGCTGTCAATCACATCAGATAAGTGGGCAGGGAACAAAAAGAAACACAATCTGATTGGCCGGCTAATCACAGTAAAAATATCAACAACACAGCAAACCAAAAGAAAAAACAAAACAGAAATAATGATTTATGTATTAAGACAACAATTTGAGATGGGAACTCTCACGCAAAATCAAAGTCAAAATGGCAGCAGTCGTTAAGACATGTCCCCCCTCTTATAGAGATTGCTGTAGCTGTGTCCAACTTTCTAACTGATCATGTGGTAAAAGGGCTGATGGATGGACTCGGTGGCAGAGTTGTTGGGTCAAATCCTCAACAGTGAAGCTGCTGTTGGCACCCAGTAATCACACACTCCTCTGTGGTAAAGAAGCTGAACTTATTTATGGCCTTTTTTTTTTTTTTTTTACTTTACAGTTAGCTCATCAAATCTATTTTGAATTAGCACTGCAGCAAGTCTAATTTCTCTGCTGAATTTTGCACGGTGGAAACAGGTTTATTTTGCTTGTCCAAAGACTCTCTACACCTTCTGTTGGCTGAAAGACAGATTTTCTCTTTCTAGAAAATGTAGCACACTGGAGCAGCATGCAGATGCATTTGAAGTGAGCTCAAAGTAAACATTACTTATTTTCAAAATGGCTAAAGCTGCAGCATCATTCGCAGGCGGGAAAGCATCTGAATTCTTCGACAGATCGATTAAATGCAGAGGAAGATGAGTGTTTGAGCTGAAAGAGAGCTGTGTCGATTTGGCAAGGAGAAGTGAAAGTGTTTGTGTGTGCGTCTGGTTTGGCTTGTCTGTGTCGGCTGGATTTGACCCTGTACGAATCCTACTGCCTCTTCTTAATCGTCATCGCTTTTACTCATCGTCACCATCATCATCGTCAGGTATTCTTCACATTATATTCCTTCATTAATGATCAAACTTCATAAATAGAAAATCCCTCATGTGAGATAAAATTAGAAGATGATTATCACACGTTAACTGTTGCACAAAAGAAAAAACAAATCAACAATCACTCAAGGGAAAAAGTGGATTCTCTCCAAAATAAATACACTTCCTGTGTCCGTGGAGAGTCATAATGTAGGCGTGGCCGTTCTCCTATAAAAGCATCAAGGTGTACAAAGTCTAAACAACTTATTTCCTCACAAACAGTCTTTGTTTTTTAGTTTTTTGTCTGTTTTCTTGCAGTTGTTTTTGTGTTAGAAAGGGCCTGAGTTGGGTTTGTTCCTTCAGATCGGGACAGCTGCTTCCATCCCCGACCGGAGTCTGACTCGCACCAAAATCCTCCGCCAGGATCGGTGTGAGTGTGCTTGATTCATCTCGCACACACACACACACACACACACACACACACACACACACACACACACACACACACACACACACACATACTAACACACACAGAGTCATGCACTCACACCTTTACATGGGTGGGACGATCATTCCCGGAATTGCTGTAGGGTGGAAAAAGAAACAGAGGGAAGAGAAGAGAAAAAACATTTAAAACACAGCCAAATATTTTCATCATCATAAAAAATTCCCTCGTAAATACATCAATATGTTTTCCCATCTGTGCAGCTGTGTGACTGCAGCGACATTTAAAACATCAATAGACAAATAAATCAGTAAATTCGAGCGAGGACACATCATCTAAGTTGGCTCTTAGCGATGCAGCTCACACACAAACACACACACTTAATTCCTGCGCGGGAACAGTTGGCGTATTTTACTGTATGTTTGTGAGTGTGCCTGACAGATTGCATCATGGCGTGTGTTGTATTTAAACCCAACGGATGGGTGTCACCATATTAAAGACAGAACCAAGCCCAGAGTGACACACACACACACACACACACACACACACACACACAGAGTGGATAAATTATTAAATACATTGTTTTATACTTCATGGTGAGTGAAACCTTTAAAGACAAAATAATACATTTTTAGTACCAGCATGATAAAACTCTACAAAATGCATTGTTTCAGTCAAGCTTAAATGTCCCCCTCTTTGTCTTTTTTGTCTCAGGTACACACACACACACACACACACACACACACACACACACACACCATAGGGCAGGTATACTGCCAGTATGCCAGTATAAACTGTCAAAAGAGTCGAACAGCTGTCATTGTTGATCGTTCCCTGGTAAGCTGCCAGTGTGTGATCACCGACTGTGTGTGACAGAGGAAAGTGTGTGTGTATAGCTGTAAGTGGGGTGTGTTTATTTCAGCTGTGCTTTGAGACTAAGCTTTGAGTTCCCACACCCCCGCACATGCTCTCTGTACACACACACACACACACACACACACACACACACACACACACATGTACACACATAGGAAAGCAAGCGCAAAGACACACACAGCTAAACAAAGCCAGTGATGTTGAGAAATAAATTCTCTCTGCCAAATGTCTTTTTTTTTTTTTTTTTTTTTTGTAAATATCTAACTTCCTGTCTTTTTTCCCAGCCAATAAGAAGACAGGGAGGAGTTACCAGGCAACACAAGATGTGTGCTCTGGGATGAGATGTGGATGGAAAATAGGGATGTACCCGAAACTGTTATTCGGGAAAGCACAAATAATGTGATGGATACGGATATTTCTTCTACCCGACGTTTTAATTGAAGTTTTAAATTTAACGCCCATCCAGCGAGTGACACAAATCACATGTACCCAAGATGTTGCGTGAGCAACAGACAGCATGCTGGGTCTGACTAAATGCTAAGCGCTATATATCTATATTACATTTTTTTCAGTTTGTCTCCCAGTTAAAGGAGGTTAGGTTTTGATCATAAAACTTAGTTTTGTTAACAATAAAAATAAAAAAGAGGCACAATAATTGCATTACCAATGAATATTAGGTTAGAAAATAATAATAAAGATAATAACAGTTGAATTACGGTATAAACCACGCCCATCGTCAGTCTTCTATCCTAATACAGTGACAAATAATTTTGGTGGTTGTACAGATACTGATAATGAAGTCTCTGTACACCTCTAGTGGAAAAGTTAAGGAGGAAGAGGATGAAGGGTTGATGATGAGACAGAAGGAAGATGGAGAGAGAACAAAACAGAGGAAGGTCTGACATGAAAGAGAAGCTGAGGTGAAAAATCAGGAAAATGACTAAAGGATCATTCAAAGGTAAAAGATGTGAATGAGAGACATTCATCACTTTATTGAAATTAGTTTACCAAAAGTTGCAAATGGTATTAGTCAACAGAGCTGAAGGAAGAGATAGCTGAGGGACATACTTCAGGTGAAGGCCAGGCCTTGTAGAGAGCTGGCTGTTGAGTACTTGCTAGAGTCCACAAATGTTTGATCTGGTAGAGAGAGGCAGAGAGACAGACAGGGAGAGAGAGAGAGAGAGAGAGAGAGAGAGAGAGAGAGAGAGAGAGAGAGAGAGAGAGAGATAGGGACAGAGAAATGACAAAGGAAGGGTGGAAGGTCAGAGGAATGAAACAAGGGTTAAAAGTTGAGAGAAAAGACAAGAGAGAGGAGAGAGAATGAAAAAAAAAGTTAATTCAAAGCAGAATAAAAAGCAGACTTGGATAAAGTATCTAGTTCTAGTTCACTCACTGTGAGTGACTTATGCTGAATGCTAATGCACGCTAACATGCTCAAAATGACAATGCTAACATACTGATGTTTAGGTGGTATGATGTTTACCACGGTAAACATCTTAGTTAAGCATGTTAGCATTTGCTAATTAGCCCTAAAGGGAGTGGCATGTAGGTATTGAAAATGTAGTGGTAGTGAAAATGTCCATAAACACATACAGTATATGCACTATTTGAATGATCAGGTCCTGTAACAGGATCGAGGGAATTACATGAAACATAACAGTGACTCCAGTAACAGAATAGCTTAAAAAATTCAGCAGAGCAGCATAATCTGCTGGGGAAATCCTCCTTCCTCCCAGCATCCTCTGACTGACTGCTGTCATGGTAAATTACCTTGGAGCCCGTTGCCGTTGGCACTAGTACAGGAGGGCGGAGGGGAAGAAGAGGGCCTGACCACTGGAGCGAAGGCAGACTTCTGCTTAACGGCCGCCGACACCATGTTGGCCGGAGAGAAGGAGAAGACACCAGAAGAGGCGGAGCAGTTGGAGGGGAGAGAGGTGGAAGAGGCCATAGTGGGACTGGATGGAACAACTGGGGTGGAATAAAGAAAGACGAATAAGAAAAAGACAGAAAGAGAGAGGTGGGATAAGGAAGATTATGGTTACTTCACAAGACATGATTCTCAAATGTATTGTTTCATCAGTTACATCAGTTAAAATCTCCACATTGTGTGAAACATAAAATAATGTAAAGTAATAAAGTAATGTTTTAAGATGTCAAAGGAAGTTGGAATGACCTTTGATATAAGGGCTTGAACTTGGACTATACTATACGGCCAAATGTTTGTAGACACCCATGTCCACAGATTTTTGTATTCTTTAGTCTGGGGCTGTTTTTGTGGTTTGAACTTTGCCCTTTAGATCTGATAAACACACTTTTGGCCATGTAGTGTATTTTTTTTTAAATAAAATCTACTTCATGAGAAGTAGATTGAACTTCTCTTCCGAAGTCAAACATCTTTATTTCCATTGTCATCACCAGAAAAAAAATATCAGCAAACAAACAAAATCTCACATCTCTCTGAATCCCTCTTTTCTTTCCATCCCTCTCCCTCTTTCTCTCTTTCTGCTAAATGGAAAAAGGGATGCAATTTACCACCAGAGAGAAAAGAGGTGTGGCTGTCAGATAAAAGGCCAGGAGGGAGGAGATGGAGGGAGGACAAAATGGAGCTGTGAGTTGGTGATTGTTTTTGAAGACACAGACAGAAATCCCCATGGGGGAATCTCCACACAGCAGATCTGAGACTTTCTGTCCACAGACTTGCGTAGGTACAGTGTGTAAGATCTGCATGTACGCAATGTTGAGCACCTGTAATTACACTGGTGGCTACGTTTCTGCATTTTGATGAGATAGGTGGCAGTTTAGTTACTTTATTTATGTTCATGTATTTTATGAAAGAATAGGTAGATTTTCCCCTACAAAGCAGCTAAAATGACTGTAATCAGCAACTTCAGTGTGGTTCAAGTTCTTCCTAAGTGAAGTAGCTTGGTTGTAAAATGGTTATTTCTCCCCAGGTGGAGAATACGCTTGAGTATATGAGTCTGTGGAGTAAATGTACACATGTACACTCACTAGCATAAGGCGAGTTGGCTGCAGAGCCATTGAGGAAAGTGGGCGAGCCTCCCAGGTTGGTCATGCCAGTGTTGTTAGCGTAGCCGTTCATGGTGCTGGTAACTGAGGTGTAACTGGTCTGCTGAGGCGTTGAGCTGGGCACGTAACCATGAGGTGACACACTACTGCTGCTGCGCACAAAACCTGCAGAAAGGGTGGTGGAAGAGGAAGAGGAGCACGTAGTGATTGGACAGTCAAAGTGATGTGAGCACAGATCATTCATCATATAAATCTGGCAGTTCTGCAAGGGTTGAGGTAAATTTATATGAAATCTGTTAAAAAACTTTTCCTATTTACTGAAGTGAACTCTGGAAAAGGGAGTCGTAGAGCAGTGGAAACATATATGGTGGCCTAAAAGAAGTTGACTTTATCAATGTTGATATTTTCAAGTTACATGGTTTCATGTTTACAGTGATTTCAGAATAGCTGCTTTTGCTCTTCTAGGCCTTACAAAATGTCACCAGAACAAAGCTGTTTAACTGGCTGTTAAATAAATATTACACCCTTTTACTCCACAACACATCCACACAATATTAATACATTTTCTATAACAAGAACAAAATATGTAAAAATGTGATAAGACTTTATGACACATTTTCTTTAAAGATGCACTGATGATGATTTCCCTGCAAATATGTCACAACACTATGTTTGAGCAACTTGTGTAATATACACTGAAGTCTTGTTACTTCAAAGATTCAAAGATATCAAATTATTTTTCTTTCAAAGTGAAAATCTTGTATTCAGTGTTTCTATATCAGAAGTGATGACTAATATTTGGTTTTCCATTAAAATGACTCACTACACTATGATAATGAACCCTCTAAATTCTTACCCTGATTGGCCTGTGTGGGTTCGGAGACATTGACGGACAGCTGCCCGGTGAAGGAGTTGACCCCCATCATGCCGCTGTGGGTGGAGCCGGAGAGCTGGGTGTGTCCTCGTGGAACGCTGTAGAGAGCTTCTGCAATGTCCGCTGCACGCTTCAGGATGATTTCCTACAGAAAGAGGAAAGCAAACATGGCATCTAAAATAACACTTTCTTTTTTCTTTTTTACTTTCCTTGTGGATGTTTGCATGTGTGTGTGTTCATTACCTGGTTATTATGGGGCAAACCATAGAGGGCTTCTACCAGGTCGGCTGCTCTCTTCAAAATTACCTCCTTAGAGTAAGAAAGAGAAAAAGAAGAATTTGCCTCAGTCTGTATGGAGTAAACACATGTAATGTAGCCCTACAGGCTCTTTTCTTGGTGATCAGAAGTCTGAAAAAACATCAAAATCAAAATTCCCCAATATCGAGGTTTTAGATGGATGTGAAGACATAAAGTCAGATGCACAATTTAGACAAAGAAGCACAAAGTTATTTAAAAAAAGACTTCCTTCCTCCTTCCCAGACACACCATCAACCAACATCAATTTCAGCATCTATTCATGATAAACAAATTGCTCCTCACTCCTTTTAACAGAAGATTATCTGCTGTCAAGTCAAGTGCTTTTATGCGTTTTTTTTCCTGTGTGTCTAAATGACATCTTAAAGTGACAGGTATTTAAAATATACTCTAAAGTAAATCTAAAGTGCTCTGTAGGCTGCACATTGCTGTTCAATCAGACTGCAAAGATCCAATGTGAGCAGATCTGGAGTGTCAGTCCAGACAATCCTTCAAAGGGCAACATCTTAGATTTTTATCCTTGTATTGATTATTATTTCTATGATCTAAAATTCTCCAAATGGTTTGTAAAGGTGAACAGGTTTTGTGACGAGAAGAAGAGGATTTCTTAATTTCTTGTAAAGGAATGTGTTATCACTTATTTCTAAAATGTATATCGCAATGCCCTCTTCCTCTTTTTCTGCTTCCATTTTCACCTTTCACTCCACCACTTCCTTCTTCCCGCTTTGCCTCTACATTGGGAATTATCTTTTCTATTTCCCCACCCACCAAACCCTCTACAGTTCTCTCTTTTTCTCAGTCTCTTTATTGTTTCTCCTCTATTCCTCGCCCGCCCACTCTCTCAGTGTCTCTCTCTTTCTCTCTCAGCTCCCACCCCGGGGTCTAAGGTGTCTTGTTTAACAGTTAATGTGTTGTCGTTTCCACAGCGTGAGGCCACCCGGCGACAGAGAGAAAATTACTATGTGCTTCACAGTATTAACCTGCACTGTGTGACACACACACACGCACACACACACACACACACACACACACACACACACACACACACACACACACACACACACACACACACACACACACACACACACTTATGGTTGGCTTGCATGTGTGCTCTCCTGTGAGTTTGTGCCTGGTGCAACATATTGCCTCTCCATCAGTGTGTGTGTGCATGTGTGTGTGTGTGTGTGAGAGAATATGAGAGGTCACAGAGCCAGTCAGCAGTTTTAGTGTGCCTGTCCATGGTGCTAAATTCAATCTTTTACACATTATTATGGCCAGGCTGGCTCTCTGTTAACCTCTCATTATTAGACTGGTGAGCTGAGCGCACACACACACACACACACACACACACACACACACACACTCACAGAAACCTGATCCTGAATGTTTGAGCGGTTCCAGTAAGGCAGTAGCTGATAAACGGGAAGGAAAGATGATCCTCTGGTAACATCATCATTATCAGGTCTGCAGGCTTCTGCTCCTACATCACTCAAAGTCTCTTGACTGCCGGGATCGATGCACTTTGAATACTTTGCCTGTTTACGTCTTTTCATATTTAGACACACAGCTACTTACATCGCCTAATTAATCTCTCCCTGGTTGCGTCTGTAAATAAGAAAGCATTGTTCGTCAGATTACCTCTTGTTCAATACAAATGAATAATGCCTCCAGGTGCATTGTGCAGATATGAATGAGAATGAAAGTGTTGATAGGGTCTTGTGGGTATCATTTATGTTTCAAAACTGATTAAAAATTCTAAAATAATCCGGCTTTGATGTCCCAAGGGCCTAAACTTTTATCAATAGGATAGCCCTCAGCAACAACCAAAATACATCTAATTGTAGTAACAAAATGTAACTTGTTTTTATGTTTTTAGGAAAAATTGGGGACTAAATATGAATGTTAAATGTTTTACACGGCTGTTTCAACAGCATTTTAAGAACTATATGTATTTGTGAAATACACATTAAAAACCTTTTTTAATGTTGTAAATATACAAACGTGTATTTATACAGTATGTAACCTAGACCTTTAGATACTTTCAACCAAATTTTGCACGGTGGAAAGTTATAATCTCTCGTTATAATCTTAATTTACGGTCCACTTTCAACCACATATCCCTACATCAACGAATTAAGTTTGCTCAGTGAGTAAGGGGACTTTAAAAGATTTTGTCAAATTTAAGTGCTTACCCTCTCCTTCGTGTTTCTGTCTATCAACTGCCTCCTGGGCTTACAGTAGCTAATGATGACAACAGAGTGACAGAAACCAACTCTAAAATAATTCTTATTTTAATCACAGCTTGCCATTTTCTGTGATTCCTGTAATTGCTGCAATAAAGCCTGATTATAAAGCTTTAATCTCTCATGTTTGCCTTGATTCATCTGATTGTCCTAATTTGTTTTTATCTGTTGTCAAATATTTATGGAATATACGCCTGACATGTACTCGTCTGTCATTTATTGTCACATCTTGTCAGTCTTTAAAAATAATTTCAAAGATTCAAGCTCTTGTCTGAGTTTATAACTCACCATAAAGACTTTTTTAAAACTTTAGTATAATCTATTCTTGTCTATTTCAGGTAAATATGCAGACAGACAGGTCAACTGACTGACAGACAGAGAAGCAGGGGATGAGTGAAAGAAAAGACGGATCTGTTGGCAGAGAGAAAGAATAACTGGAGGTGTCTAGGTGCTTTTACTGTCTGAGTTATGACCAGCCTTAATGTGATAACCATACATTACACACACACACACACACACACACACGCTCACACACACATGTTGTATGCATTAGGACCAGGAAACGCTGAGCTGAGTATCTATGGGGTCAGATGTGTGTGTGTGACGTGCGTGTGCCGTGCCAGCACAGACATGACACACACATGACTTATTCCTCCCTAATGCTGATACATTAGCCGTTTAATCCAATACTAATGTGCCATTAGGGATGCCGTACATGCAGGGTCACACCTTGCACATAGATGATGTCATACTTTACATGTAGACTCGAAGGGGATGTGGGGCACAGTCACACACACACACACACACACAGACACATATAAAAGTATTGACATGCGTGCACACACACACATCCTCTGGGGGACATCTTCTCCTACTAATACATTGTGAGATAGTGTCAGGATGCGTGGTTTCAGATTTCATCTCTTCTCACTGGTGAACATCGACATGTGAATTTAAGTGCTTATGAGCGAGTGACACAGATATATATTGAGTAGAGAGAGAGAGAGAGAGAGAGAAGAGGTAGAGTTTCATGGTTTTATGTCTGTGTGTTCATGCATCACCAGGATTACTCATATTAGTGATGCTGATGACATGACCTCAGTACGATGCATGACATCATCAAAATGAGTCGCGTAGAGATGTCAGCTGAGTGAGTCACCAGAGGAAGTCACCAGTCTAACGGAGGTGACACACTGGTCAACCTTTTCAACCTGAAATCCTTCACTGAGAAACAGACATTTCTGCACAGACTGATTCTTTTAGTAGTTTTGGCTGTTGTCACTTAGCACTGTTTCTGTTACGTTTAATAATCACTCAGATCAGAAAATGAAAAATCGAATAATCTACTTTGACAATTACACTTACCACATAACATTCAGTGAAACTAAATGAATATGACTTTATTTCAAAGTTACACTGATGATGATCTCTTTTCTGGTAATCACAAGTCAAGTTTCCATTCAACCAAAATTCTGCGACTAAAATCATCATTCATCAAGAGTACAATCAGGGCAAAAACATCACCTTTTATTCACTGGGTTTTAGAAAATATATTCTAAAAACCAGAGGACAGTTATTGTCTTTTAATGCTGTTTTTTTCTTCCAACATTTTCTGCTGCAGTGAAGAGGGGACTACAAGCCAAGAGAGGTGATTGATTCCTTTGTGCATCCAAAGAGGCATTTCTGCTTCTTACTCTCTTATTTACTGGCCGATCGCCCACGCAGGTGATTAACAGCAGATTGGAGTATAAAAACAGTTTTATAGCAGAATCTGGTTGTTGATTGTTAAACATTTCTAGTTTATTGAAGCTACTGAATTAAAGATTCAAGGGCCAAGATTCTTACATTCTGAACTAACATTTAGCATATTAAAAATAAATGGATATTGTTGCTGCTTTCTCATAACTGGTTGCTTGCTGGTTGTGGTGAGAAGCTGCAGGTCTGGGAGTCTATAACTGGGGCATAAAACAGCAGGAGTCCTCTGTCAACAAAAAAAAAAAAACACTGAAGAAAAAGTCCCTGATTCTCCCATATTGTTCTGAGTAACTTCACAGTATTCCCCAGTATTTTTAAACAGCACATTTAAAACACAATCTATGTGCGTATGTGTGTCGCTGTGTACAGTAACTGTATGTGCACATATGGATGGATGCTGATGGGATCACAGTGACACAAACTGGCATCTGAACACTGGTGCCTGTGTGTGTGGCTAGCAAAATCCCCTCAATGTTCACTGAACAATTATAGAATCGGCTGTCCACTGGTAATCCTCTCATACACTCCACTGCCCCGTCTGTCTGTCTGTCTGCCTTCTTCATAGCGCTGGTAACAAACTCTTATAACTTCAATAAAAGGGCTGATCGATACCCGCAACGAGCAGGCAAGTGTGTGTGTGGCGCCAAACATCACCCACCCACCCATATCAATACACACACACACACACACACACACACACACACACACACACACACACACACACACACACACACACACACACACACACACACACGCTACAGCCTCCTTACACGAGACAAACAGAAAAGAATATTTTTACATTGCTCCCACATGCATCTAGCATCTAAATAAACACAGATAAGTCAAATACAAGTACAGTCTCTCTCTTTTTCTACACACACACACACACACACATACACACACACACAACACACACACACACACACACACACACGCACACACGCATGCACATGGTCACTGCTGGTGGGCAGCAGTAATAAAGTCTCAGGGTTCGATCGACCACATGGCTACACCATGATGAATTACCCAGGAATGCACACACATACAGCGCTTAAGCACACATGCACACACGCTCACACACACACACACACGCTCAGACACACACACACACACACACACACACACACACACACACACACACACACACACACACACAGACATACACACAGACACACCACAGAAGCAGATACAAACATGTAAGAGGAACCTTGTTCTAAACAGAGAGTATCAACAGTGCGACACAGTTAACAGAAAAAGGAAGGTGAAACAGTTACAACTCAGGGTCGTGTGTTCAGAGAAAGTCTCTGTCATCAGGATGAATGAGTTTGGTAAATCAGGTCCATGGTGCTGTTACTGTAGGCTCAGAGAAATGCAAGGCACTCTTCCAATGTTAGGGGTATTGGAAGAGAGAGGGTGAAAAAGTGACATTACATATTGGCTTCCTGAATCTTTTTGTCAGTGATTGGTTGCAGTTTCAATGGTAATCTGAGCGTCTCAAAAGTTGAACTATTTTACTCGCTTACATTTCAGTTCTCGTGCTCCCGAAGAACATGGTCTTCCTTTATAAAGGAAAAACGGGCTGATTCGTTTCTCTATCGTCTTGGATCTGATACCTGATCAATGTGTCCAGCTACTCTGGTTGCATTTCCAGCAGCTTAGTGGTTCTCATTGTAGTTTTGCCTGGAAATATCCAGCGTGACATCATGTTGCTTATAATTAGCTTGACCGCTTATCCATGGGAATACATTACCAAGTAAGACTGGCCTAGAAAAGTACAGTGCCAGTATTGTTTTTTAATAGTGCTAGAGGGCTTTATGGTGGACTGGGGTCAGAAGTGATATCAATAGTTGGTTCTTAAGGTATTTATGGACTCATTTAGTACAAGTAATACACTCATTTATTTTATTTATCTTGACAAGCATAGCCACAAAATAAAATGTGTTGGCTAAAGCTCAGATATAGAGAGATTTTTCATTTTTTCCCCTTAAATTTGCCATTATTAAAATAAATGTTAACTCCTCTGTGCAGATCACTGTTTAAATGTCATATTGGGCCTTTTGGCTGTAGGCATGCATATGTACAAGTGGAGTGTACCACAAGAACAACAAAAATAAGAATAATAAACCAATTTTTGTAACTAGTTAAGTAGCAGCCACTTCCTTCTCCCAGCATGGTTCATTGGAAGTGGTAGCTCATAAAGCAGGTCTTACCAATCAGATTGCTTGGACCAAATAATCTGTTGTAACACTAAGAGTCCTAAAGCTTTCTTTTCCCCTTACAGAGGTAGTACAGAGAGGAAAAGGTGGAAGCATTGTTAACAAACCGTGCGTCATGCTCCGTAAATCTCTCACAAACTGCGCAGCGGTTGTGTGTACATACATGTGTCTTTGTGTGTGTGTGTTTATGCGCGAAAAAGTGAGTCAATCCTTTTTTCTGCTCTGACTCAGCTTTTACCAGAAGATAGAACTAATATTGCTTATGGTATTACATACTTTGGGTTGCTATCATCATTTCCTGCACTGAATTTTCTGCAGCACTTATTGCTCTCTTGGTCATACAGTAGGTAAAAGCTTTTTAAAGAGCTAAATCTTCTCCAGTGGGCTGACTTCACTCTTCCACTCCATTCCTGACTCCTACAGCCTTTTGCACAATTTATGTTGTAGTTCTGTCATGGCTTAAAATGAACACTTTTCAACCTGTCCGATGTCCTTCAGCAACAACAACTCCCTATCAAGACACAAATGGATCATTAATATCAGAAAAGGAGGACACAGACTTATAGTTTATGTCATGGAAAGAACAGTCCAGTTGTATAAACTGTGCTGCAGTGTTTCATTTGGCTCACAATAACAAGTCTTTCAAATCAACATTAATTAACACTATAAAGCAAAAGTTAATCAATTAATCATGAAAGTAATAGTAAAATAAGCATTAGTTGCAGCCCTAAGGCAAACTACTTCCTGTGCTACAACTGAAAGTTGGTTATGGCCATTCTTGAGTGAACTCTGCTGTGCTGCATCCACCTCAGGCTCTCTTTTACAAGAGCTAGACAGATACCCGATCTACGGTACAGTAATAAGTATTTGTTCTTTGTTACTTCCAACCTTTGATCTTCCTCATTATATTGACCCATAAACAATCCGTTTTTTAAACCAAACTTAACTTTTATCAGTCACGTTACCTTCATTGTGTTTAACCTGATCCCCAACAAGCTCAGTATTGTCTGACATTGTCACTATAATGTACAGTATACTGTAAACAAGTAAAAGCAATAAATACTCATGACTATGAATCCACAGACTTCACAAACATTTGAGGTATGAAGTTCTTCTGCGTGATGTATTGAACACGTTCCCACAGTGACGACACGCATTACATGCGATTGCTAACACATGTGCAGGAGCCAGGGTGTCGGCACGGCCGTGATGACATCACGTCATCGCCACACCATCACATCATGACCAGCGCCCATGCTTTGATGATGTCACAACATAGACAGCCAATCCTGGACCAGCTCCAGTGGGGATGGGAGCCAATGAACTGCAGCTGTTTAAAAGGTCATGACCCCCGCCCACCCAGATAGGCAAGTTCTAAGTTAAATCAGGCCAACTTGGTAAGCTCTAACACACACACACACACACACACACACACACACACACACACACACACACACGCACACTTCAAAACGTCGCCCTGCATGTACATGTCAAGATGACAGGGTTTGCTATCAAAGCCGAGCTCATCGTTTGGTGATAATTGTTTACATCTGCTGATCCTTTAAACACTCTGCCTGATCTCCAGCTGATAAACAAATAATCAGATATGACTCTCTGATCTGGAGAAGATTCAAACACTCACCCTGTAAAACGGGGGGTTAAGCAGCTCACACACACGGAGTTCACGAAGAAGTAAAAACACAACCCACAGGAGATTTGAAAACACATATTCTGCTTAGAAATATAAAAATAACACACGCACATAACAAATAAAACGTAAACACAAAATTATTTTGTTCTTAGTGTTTTGTGTGTGCATTGCTGTGTGCTGATTCTTTGATACCAGAGCAACTCAGTGAAATAACTCAATGTAACTGAGAAGCTGGAGGAGGATTGATCTCTGTGAGAGCGACAGTATCTGTCATTTTGAAGCAAGAGAGAGAGAGCATTGCTCATTCTAGGGTCATTGTCCAGTTAAGGCATCAGATAAGTGTGCAAGAGGTGAATGTAGATTGTTTCTGTACCTTTGGCAGCCTCTCGGGGTCCCCAGGGTGCCGAGGGATGACCTTCTGAAGCCTCTGGAAACCGTAGTCAATGGTTGGCTCATTCAGTGCTGCAGAAGACAAAGAGAAACAGACAGAGGAGGAATTAAAATGGTTGTTTTATTATTTACTCTCCCGCTACAGCAGGTTTCCTACATTATCCAGACAAATGTTGCCTAAAGACCTCATGAAATAGGCACTTTAACTCAAACGTCAGGGATGAGCTCTCGCTGCATTTGTGGGTGTAACTCCATATGTGAGTCCATAAAGTCATCGCAAGTATCAGTAACAGTATTGGCTTGCTGTCATAACTACATGACTATACTCCAAAGCTGGTGACAGGGTACCACCAAGATATTTTACATTAGGTACTTTACATTAGGTTATATAATGATTTAAAATTAAATAAAATTAAAGTTTATATGGCAACCTTTTAAGCAATCAGTTGCCTATTCAGCAGATGCAGAGCAACATTAGCATTCAAAAGTCCACCAACTCAAAAAGAAACATCTGGCTCTTTAGCTGCTAAATGCTGCACAATATTCAACTTTTTCTTTTAGTTGTTTGGTGCTGGACAGTTACTTTATTTAGAGCTTTTTTCCTGAAAACAGCTGCCTGCTTTGTCTCAAACCAAAAGTTCAGAGCTGTAAAACCAAAACAAAAAGCACAAAGACACACTACAAATATAAATTGAGTAACTGCAGACTTGGACGATAATTATTGTTTGACCCCTTTAACATATAATTAATCCTGTGATCCATTGTTAATTTAAATGCTTGTGGATGCTTGATGAGACACTAAACTTTCATATCATATAAGCATTTTTTTTGTATTCCAAACCAACAGTCCAGAGGCTTTAGGAACGATTTCACAATCCCAGTTGCTTCCTGTCACAACAATGATGTTGTGGCTTATTCTGCACTGCCTCATCTTTACTTCAATGAGGACAAACTTGTAATATAAGCTTTTCCTTCAGCCATTCTCTATTTTCACCATCATTTCCAGAAACTTCTGCTTTGTGTTTGCACTCTTAACCTCTTTTATGGTGTAAAACAATCCTGCTGATTTCCAGAAAAATCATCCAGATCGCCTCATATACCGGTATTGTAAAATATAGTGAAAATAAAGACTGACCAATAAACTTTGATGGGAAAAAAGAGCGCTACCTTTCTTCAGTCTAAAGAAAAATCAAAATATGCAGTTTTTCCTGTACGATTGAACATATAACTTAATATGTCTACACATTTCTTTAATGCAAAATTAAAACCAAAGATACTGAGGGCTTCCTCCACTTCACCCTCCTTCCTGCCTTATCGATTTCAGCTGGATTATGTCGGAGTCAACTATCTTGTTTAAATTCTTCACTACCCTTCTGTCAAAAAGAACGTAGTAGCAGATTATGGGTGTTACTCGTTGCACCTTTAATGCTGCTGCTGTTCAACCTAAGCCTGCACACATGATAAACAGACACAGCAGTCCCAACATCTGTGCCAATCCGTGGGGGGGATTTGAGTGGTGAGGAGAGAGGATGACATCCCATTTTGTGACATTTTGTTCCCAAGCACCACACTGGTTACAAGTACGGTTTTATTTTGTAAAACTGGGTTGGAAAATAATGAACCTGCTCAGCATGATCTCTAAGAGCCGACAGAAGCCTGGAGGTTGGGAGGGGGGCTTGTGACTGAAAGGTCGGCAGTTCAAAATCTGGCTGGGAAACTGTGACTGAGGAAACTACATCTCTCAACAACTGTACTGTCATTGCTGGATTTTCTCCAGAGTAGCTGCTCAGCTAGAGTGCGGGCCTGGTTATTATTTTTTTTCTAAGCTCTAGTGCTTGTTCTTGTAAATGTAAAGATATCCATTTAAGATTAACCAGTTTCTAAATGTTCCCCCAATGGTTGAAAGCCCCTTTCTTCTCATTAGTCCAGCATTTTCCCAGTATTGATTTAATTTAGTTTAAATGCTTATGGTAGTAATTTGAGAGTATTCCCATATGACAAAATATTCAGAAAAAGCATACATTTTAGCATTAATCCAAAACTTAATTCAAACACCCACTGAGGCTTGGTTGGCTAACTGCCCGTGAAAGTCAGATTACATCAGAAAAAACCCTTTACTCACTTCTCACTTTCCTCTAGTATACAGTATATGTATATATATTGTCATATATTGTTGTAGGTAGGAGTCTTGAAAAAAAACATCAGTAATAAAGTTACAACTAGAACTGAAATATCGAGTATTTGCTCTAAACGTGCAACTCAGCCCTACTAAATACCATGAGAGGAAAATAGTTTGGGTGAAATTACCATTTTAACTATTTAAAATTATGTTGTTCTACCGTTGGGATCAGAGGTAGCAGAGTGCACACAGTTTAGTGCAACACGGATAGACCTGATGGAGTAACTAATGGTGTCAAAAACATCTGTATGATAATAACACTACAGGTGTAATGTAAAGGGTTTTTAAAGAACGCTTAGTGTTCACTTTAATGTTGCAATTACGCACTTCTTCTACAGTGTTTATCCACTCAATATGTCAATCAAGTCGGGCTCTGAAAGCTCTGTCAGTCAAATGATGGTTTAAAGTGTGTGTGTGTGTGTGTGTGTATGTGTGTGTGTGTCTGCATGTGTGTTTATTTATCTGTGCTGAACATGTGTCTTCACCCCATTGTTGAACCTCTTATGCTAAAGTTACTGTGTGTGTGTGTGTGTGTGTGTGTGTGTGTGTGTGTGTGTGTGTGTGTGTGTGTGTGTGTGTGTGTGTGTGTGTGTGTGTGTGTGTGTGTGATGTCCAAGTGTGCAGCTGGAGTGATATTTGGTACTTTCCACATCCAGCACTGATAAATTACTTGCAGCTGAATTTCTTACAGTTTGTGTTGTTTGCTAGTTTCTTTTAGTGCGTGTGTGTGTGTGTGTGTGTGTGTGTGTGTGTGTGTTTTATATGTATGTCTGTTTTATTATCACATCACACCCAAGTTGCTGGTTTCTGTTATGTCTTAAAGCCCAATTTGTTAGCAACATAACTTCATAAATTGTGAGCTGTAAAAATACCAGATGTTAAACCATCATGAACAATACTTCCCCCATTTCAAGGAACTAACAACTTAATTTTTTTATTCTGGACAAATTATGATTCATATATGATAATTACATCAACATGATTGGTCTGGGGGAGTTTAGCAGGAGAGAAGAACAGAAGAGAAAGTGAAGCAAGGGATAAGGGGAAAAAGTGACTAAAAGAAGAATGCAGGTGAAAGGAGAGAACTGAGTTTATTGGAAAGAGGAGAAGAAAAGAGAGCACATGTTAACCCCCCCCCCCAAAAAAAACCCAAAACTAAACCCAGTTATGGTTGAGAAAAACAAAACTACAAAAACAGCTGTCTAACAGTCGGTGGGATATCAACTGTCAGAATTAACTGCCAGTGTCAGATCCACACTCTCTGTACATCTCTGGAGACGTTTAAACAATGCCAGCACTAATATAACACACACACACACACACACACACACACACACACACACATACAATGTGCATAACAGGATGAATGTATATATGTGGTTTCGATGGCTTAGGCCTAAAGCGTCCCCAACTGACTTATTATTAATAGAATAATATGCTCCTTAAATCATTGGATGGTGTGTCAATGTTTGTGTGTGTTTATGGGTTTGTGTAGGTCAGTGTGTGTGTGTGCGTGTGTGTGTGTGTGTGTGTGTGTGTGTACTTTGAAGCCAAAAGGTCAGGTTTCTCCAACGGTTTCTACAGTGGTTTCTTTCTGCACAGAAACCGGAATAGTATCAGCACAGTGAAAGCCGTCCAATTGATTACACATCAGCTGTAAAAGGCATCGGTGATATTCACCATAGTCACACTGACACCCGCAAAAACCAAATACACTTATCTCCGAGCTTACAGAAAGGTTTCCTTGTGACACTGTTCTAAGATAAGATAAGATAAGATAAGATAAGATATTCCTTTATTGATCCCCCTTAGGAGAAAAGACTATGTCGTAGGTATTTTGTCCCTGTGAGCAGGGAAGATGTTGATGAGATGGGGCAGAAAACTAAACTAAAAGTTGTTGTTGTGTGAGTGGATCGTAAATATATGGGTGGAAAATGGTCAATACCCCAAGAGGAAACATCCCTTCTACCACAGAGTTTCCTAATTATATGTATGAAGTAATTCATAAACACACTTGACCTGTTTAGTTTACACATTGGGGCCTTTCTCTTAAATATGTCTAACTCCTGAAAAACTCCCAAAGAAGGTATCAGCTACCCCAACATCCAACCTAAATGACAAAACAATCCTTTTCTAACACAAATGTGAGTGATGGGGGACAATATCCACAATCTTTGTTCTATGCAAACCTACATTATAATGTTAAACCTTCTACAGGGAGTTTTGAACTAAACAGTCTCACCAGAATCAAAAAAAATATAGTTCCTTGTTGCTGCTTTAAGCCGAAGCAAATACGAGGCTTCAACAGTCAGAATTAGACAAATCTACAAGGATGAGTGTCTTCCGAAGTTATTTTCCTATTAGTGCAAAATGTTTCCTAACGAGGACTGTGGATTTTAAAGGGACAGACTTGAAAAAGGTGAACCTGTCTTTTAATGTCAGCTGTCCATGGTGCTGAAGAGGATGATGAGTACATTTAAAGGTAACGTGTCATGCTATATATTAAAAATACATAAGTCACAAATAAAATTGTGCAAATCAGTGGTGCAATTACTTTGTATGTATGTTAGTTTAGTGTAATTTTCTTCCTCATTTCAACATCATCACTGGTTTTATATCACTTAACAGAGAGCACCAGTGGTCAAGATAAAAGTGTTGACTTGGACAAAAATTATTCATATTTTCCAAGCTGGGACACATAAAGAAGATGTCTGTGAAGTGAAAAAAGGAGCAATGTTATTTTTTCTTATTATTATTTTCTGGCACGTTCTGCTTTTCCTAAAAGCTTCAGCTGATGATTTGGTTCCCATTTAATCTCGACTTATTCTGCCACCCTGCTGCCCATCAAAGCATCTCTGCATGAATCCCTCCTGCTCTCCTTTACCCCCCCCCTTCTGCTCTGTCTCCTTCCCCCTCTTTCTTAACTACACCTTCTGCCACTTTCATCCATCCATTCCTCCATCGTTCCTCCTCCAGCCTCGCTCTTCCTCTCAGAGCCCAGAGCTGCCCGCAGATCAATACTCATAGAAGTTTCATGAGGACAGACCCTCCACTCCTGTTTCGCAATAAAATGTGAACAGAGGAGGGAGACAGAAGAAAAGAAGAGGGGGAAGCAGCAAAGAGAAAAAAGGAAAGATATTGTTTGTGTTGAATCTGTAGGTCTAGGATTTCTTATATGCTTGTATTATGCAATGGTGGCGTTTTTCTAGATATCTTTTGGCAGAGTTTAAACAGTGCAAAGAAGAGAGAAAAAGGTGGGTAAAGGAGTGGGAAAGGAGAAAAAACAGGGTGAAGCTGGGTGGGTAAGAGGACAGAGTAGAAGAAGAAAAGGAGGAGGAGAGGAGGTGTGGTGAGATCGATTCTCTGGCCAGCCAGCAGTTCAATACCACTGAATTATTGCTTCATTCTTCCCCTTATGAGATGAGATCTCTTTCTCTCTCTAGCTCTTCTCCTCTCTTCTATGTGTTTGTATATATGTGTGTATGTACATGTGTGTATCTGCATGCGTGTATATGTACGTGTGCGATCCACTGGTAGAGTGGATCAATACTTTACAATCTGGTTTTAAAAGTCCACCTTTCTGTCTCTCTCTTTTTTATATGTGTCTCTCTCTTTCTTTTTCTTTTTCTCTCTCCCTCCTTCTATATTTCAATCTCTTTTATTTTCTCTGTCTTGTGTCTGCAAAATGACGGTTAGATTGCTTGTAAAATGAGACAAAAGACTAAAATTGTGATGCTTTTTCAGCTTTTCGCTAAAAGTTTCACCTCCACAGCTGAGCTATGGATTTTCTTATGGCGCTGCATTGACAATAAATCAGCTCTATACTGTATGTGTGTGTGCATGTGTTCATGTGTGTATATAATGTGTGTGAGAGCATGTATTGATTGTTACTTTGTACCATTGTGTGTTTATAGGAGTGTGTGATGTTTGAGAATGTTAATTTTTCCCACCAGGCCGATGAAGCATACGGCACTGTGTGTATATGTGTATAGTGTGTGTGTGTGTGTGTGTGTGGTAGACCATCTGTTTAGCAGACTACTCACCATCTTTCCCTCATATCTCTCTGATTTACAATTACTTTCAACTCCTGCCCCTGTTTGAAAGTGTGTGTGTGGTACGTTGTGTAAGACATGACCCTCGCAAAGTGTGGCTTTGTGTGTGTTTACGCTGTGCGTTGTTGCAAACTTGCGTGTGTGCGCGCTCGTGAGAGTGTTTAATTGCTCGGCCCTTTACACCCAGAGGCAACCACAGCTAAAATACTGAAAAGCCACAACAGCCAATCAGCTTTCACCACCATGACCTTTCACCAGCGACTTCCAGAAAGAAGTCAACCTTGAGGTGGGGTCAGGCAACCGCAGTAACGGATTGCGTTTCCTGGGTCACATGTTGAAGCCATCAGCCAATCGCGAGGTCATGGGGGGTCATCTCCGCCCAATAGGAGCAGGAGTTAGACACCAGACGGACCAATTACCAGTCAGCTAGCCTCAGGGTCAGACCAAAGATGTTTTGACTGAAGAATACTGAAGGAGGCACAGTCTACGTACAAAGAAACTAAGAGGGACATTTAGAGACACTCAACGCAAAAAAAAGTCTCAGTCTTCCAAATTTCATCGAGACATTTAAAACCAAAACAATATTCTGTGTCTGTTTTATTGCTCTTACAATTGTTGCTCTCACTTCTTGTGCTAAATGTTTTTTCACTGCACTTTACATTGTCAAACAGGTTCCTATAGGTGGAGCTATTTTCTTTGACTAGTCAGTCAAACTTTTAGATTTTCTTTTAAACTATTAAACTTGTCAACTTGAAGTGAAATCTCTCAACAATCTTGTATTCAGGTTTGTTTCAGGTCATGCTTATGTGCAAACCTCACTTTAGAAATGGGGAACATATTCTGAGTTAGAATGACTTAATTCAGAGTTTGACACTATTAACACTTGTAGGTTAGTGTTTTATTACTCAATAATACATCACGTACAAGTCTTATTAAGGGAGAATGAGCATTTTTGTGGTACTACCACCATATAAAGCCCATAATGAGCAAAGCATACTAAGATAGTAATTCATATACAACAACTTCCTTACTTACTATCAATAAGTAGAAATTAAGAGGCTCTTAATGGCCTAGTAGTTGTAGAATATGGTCATTCAAAATAAGGCATCATTAAGTGCTTTATGATTTATGATTAATAAAGTCAGTATGCTAATAATATGCATGCTAATTGGCAACTACAGTAAATATGTGTACCTTAATATAAAGTGTTAGCCTAAATATTATTCTATACTTGTGGCTTGTTGCTGTTTGAATTTTCATATAAAGCAAATTGAAGGAGAACAAATGACCGTAGTTGAAAACACAAAACATCACTTTCTTTTAACATTTTTCATTCTGAACAGGAAATATTAAAGCTTCCAAGAACTTGACAGCAACATTAAAACTGACAATTTATCCATGGTAAGTTTTTTTCATTTCCATTGATCAGGTTTAAATCCTCATCTTTATCTTTGGTTAATTGGGTCATTAAATGTCTCGTACCCAAAAGAATTTACACAGCAGCTGTTTTTTCTTGTCTGTCTCTCTCTTTGAATGACGTCATCATTATGGTGTGATGGAGCCATGTTGAGAGGATCAATACCAGACATCACATCACCTCCATCCATTTCCACATGTATGTGCGAACAAAATGAGCACATACACACGCACATGGACACACACATACTTTCTTCTTCTTTGCTCTCCTTTTCCTCCTCTACTGACTTTAGCAGGAAAACGCTCATTCACAGTCAACAATCCGGTCAAAAATCACACACTCATTTTCCAACATCGTGTGTGTTTGTGTGTGTGTGTGTGTGTGTGTGTGTGTGTGTGTGTGTGTGTACCGTGTGTGTGAGTGTTAGTAAACTGGGTGTTCTGGATGATTTCACTAATAGTTTCAGTATGGAGGGCTATAAAGAGCAGACTGTTTAATTGTAGCTGGTTTTAACGAGCCTCTGATTATGGCAACATTGTAACGAGTGTGGGTCGTTAATGTTGACTAATCTACAGTCATTAGTTCAACACTGTCTGGCCTGAGAGTGAACTGCAAGTCATAGACGCTATTCATACACACATGCAGACCTGCACGCACACACACACACACACACACACACACACACACACACACACACACACACACACACACACACACACACAGGCAAAGGCCAAGAAACACACATTTATAAAACCCCAAAAAATAAATGTACCCTCTAAAAAACAGAAGAAAAATCTCAACAGTTTAATCAAGAGTGTGTGTTTGTATGTATGTGTGTACTGCTGACCTACCTGTGTATATGAACCGTCCTGGTGTGCCTTTGCAGAACTGTTTGGACTTGTAAGAAAGAGTGACCTCAACGACCCCGGGGATGTGTCTGGGAGGCGTCTGCACCCGGATGGCATGCGGCGTGATCAGCTAGAGAAGGAAGGAAAAAGGGCGACCATGAGTCAGTACACAAAAACACATCATACTGTAGAAACATGAAGCATGGCGGACTTCCATGGAAGGCGACCCGAGCCGTATGTAGATAAAAAGGGCTCATTCTAAGATAACGAAAACCCAGAGAATATATATGTTCAGGTGATTATACACTAATGAAAATATACCTATAAATAATATATTACATTTTTGTCAATAGATCCTCCTCAATGTTACACACTGAACCTTTAAGAGGAGGTACAATGTAGAAATTTGAAATCTTGTATCTGTATGTGTTAATTGAAATCCTGTAAATGTTCTGATTTATGTTTTATTTGGGGTTTGAATGTGTCACTGGACTTTTGAGCTACAACAGTGTCTGTTGCAGTGTTTGGCATGCCACCAAAATAAAGATCTGCAAACTACTTTAAATATAATCTGATTTCACATCATCTATCAGGTGGAAATTTGTATTGAGCTGAATGTGACAAACACTAACTTTTTAGCATCACATTTTTATGGATGGTTTTCAAAAATAGTTTTCACTACTTGGCCTGGGTTTTGTGAAAAATCTGCAGGTAGGAGGGACAGCTGCAGACAAACAGAACTTGGCAAACGCGCAATCACTTTCTACCAACAAATTTTTCAAACTGTGTTTTCTCGCTTCGGAATCAATAATCAGGTTGAGTGCAAATGAAACATTTGGTTGGCCAAAATCCATTAGAAGCCAGTCTGAGGAACGCCTAAGAGCTGAGTCAGTTTGAACTGAACTGAACTGAGACTCTGTACACATGTTAGTGTGTGTAAGTGTGGCTCTCAACACTGTAAACAAACCCCTCCGCTCTTAACATACACACACACACACACACACACACACACACCCATCCATGCCAGCATGAACACACACACACACACACACACACACACACTGTTGTTGTTGGAAGAGAGCCATGGTCGCTCAGCGCACACGGTGAGTGGAGTCAGAAGACAAATAAACATTCTGTAGAGGAGTTGCACTGGGGAAAAGTACGATAGTGAGCGCTGCATGTGTGTGTGAGTGTGTGTTTTTGTGCGCATTAAGCCGATGGCTATCAAAATGTGCTGATTTGATCAGTTTTCCAGAGAGAAAGAGACAGAGGGAGTGTGGGTGAGGAAGGTAGAGAGGGGCGGCGGTCGCTTTTTGTGGGGACTCATTAGAGAGCCAAACCTCATTTAGACAAACATTAACACACACACAAACATTCACATGATCACACACAGTTAAGAGCCTGACCATGAGGAAAAGTATGTTTTCATATTGAATTACTTCCAACGGTCCGAGGGCAAAAACACACCGTTGAGGGGTTGAAACAACATCGGGACAGGATGATGATTGTTGGCAAACTGACCTCGCTCCAAACCAGCATGGTACCAAAGATGACTTGGAGACCATCGAAGAAGTTGTCTCCTATGATGATGACTGTAGCGCCCCCCGTAGTCCACCCCTCGCTGGGACTGATGGCTTTAATGCAGGGAGCTGCTCCTAGAGGGAGGAGAAGAGGATTATAGTAGCCAAGAGATAGAGGAAAAATCAAGTAAAATAAATATTTAAAGATTTTTGGCATTGGGATGCATCTGAATAAACCAGTTGTGCAATAAAACCTACAGTATTGACTACGGTATATGACTTGACAAGTTATGGTTGTAGGAAAACATTTGTTTCCTTTAAAGACCAATCAGTCTGTAAACAGGGAGGGAAATCTGGCTTGAAGCCTTTTCATCCCTGTTGCATCTGCACCTCATATATCTTCATGCTACTCCCTAGGCTCTTGGCCGGGGTCCAGATCGGCACACCACACTTAAAAACACTGACTACACCGCTGGCTCAAAGACTGTCCCTTTCAATCTGTCCTTGAGTAGTGAGGTTTTTCTTGTGCAATGAGAGAATAAACAAAGCTAATTTTTAGACACTTAAATGTATACTGACATCCAGGAAAAAAATATTTCCACATTACATTACCTAAATTGAAACATCAGCTCCACTGTAACTTTATTTGCATTGACCATGAGATGCAGTTGAAAGTTGTAAGTTGCTGTAAGTGAACCTCTTAGTTCCCAAATGTCAAGAACGAGAAAGGCTAAAGATGTGCACAGATGAGCCACTTAAGAAACATTTTTTTCTTAATTTTTTGCTGTTAAAAGAGACTTCTTTCAAAATATTTTTTAAAAAATTATTAATTTTAAATGCAATGTGATACTCAAACATGATTCTGACAGTACCTGTACTGTTTATTTACTGTTTGTTTATCCCAAAACTCGACTGATGAGCAGTTCATTTTCTAAACTAATGATATGAAATGGATAGAAACACACACAGAAGGTTCAGTGTGCATCATAATACTTCAAACAGAAAGGATACAGTGAGATTTATGTCACGTCAGTGTTGTGTGAGTGTGTGTAAACTCAAATCCAATCCCATATCGCAACAATAAAAGCTCATCTGTCAAAAACCAACTCTCCTCAGAGTGTGTGTGAGATTATCAGGATTCATTTGAATTACAACAACATCCCTTAGTCTGAGTGTATTTATGAAAGGGAAGCATAATGATATTAGACTTAGCAACACACACAGATACACACACAAAGCATCACACCATGCGTATTATGTGTGTGTGAATGTGTGTGTAGTGAGTTGGATTAGCCAGATGGAGGGGCAGGAATCACCTGATAGGATTAAACCATCAACCATCTGGTGGCCATGCTGCTTATGCTCACACAGATTCACACACACACACACACACACACACACACACACACACACACACCGTGTTCTAGGTAAGACGGCGTTCCTTCCACCGGGTCGAGCCTGCGGGCCCGTCGGCCATGTTTGGAGTTGTTGTGGACGAACATGTTGTCGGAGACGGACAGAACGTGTCCCTCCACGCTCACCGTAGTCGATACCACCACCTACAGAGAGGCAGGGCAGGGTGGGGGGGGCGGCGTTTAGAGGGACAAGAAAGTGATAAGATAAAAGAGGGAAGAAGGGGAGCAAAAGGGGGAGAGGAGCAAGGGAAAGAAAAGATGAGGAATTACAAAGTTGGGGGTCTAGAGATCACTGAGAGGAGGAATTAAAAGCGTGAAACTGAAAAGCTCTTTAAATGTAACCCGTTATCACTGCTATTACCATCACACTCAACACACACTAAGTCACTGTGACTGTACAGTGTGTGTGTGGTGTCTATCCTCCTCTGTTCAATAGTTCCTGATGGGTCCGGCCCTTAATTATCTCCCAGGGAAACAGAGCTGTCTTCTCTGGTTCCACTACAATAGAGCTGCACAATTAGAGGCACAGATACTGTCACACAGTCACTACCATATGAATCTCTCTCTCTCTTTTTCTCTCTCTCTCTCTCTTTCAGTCCTATCTCACACACACATACACCACACAGATGCAACAGACATGCACATAAGAGCACACTGGCAGAAATGCACACATGTACATATCACACACACACACACACACACACACACACTTTCACATACACGTGCTGTGGTAATAAATCTATCAGTATCTTCTGGCCGTCCAGTATCTGCACTCAGACTCAAGTGGTGTCTTCCTGATTGTGTTGTGGCCGTGAAGATAAGGAAATAATAAAGACGGCACTGCCTTAAATCTTATCCACAACCTCCTGTTTTTCTTTCTTCCCTTCTTTCTCTCTCTCGAACGCCATCCTCTCTGTCTCCCTGCATTGTCTGTATATTTATGTCCTGACGAGTCAGGGTCAGGATCTCACGTTTCCTGTAAAGGCGCTGATAGCTTATTTACTTACAAAGAAACACACACATACACATTCCTGTGTTTATGTGTTAACCACAAAGTTATGTGCATTATTACATGTTATGTTTGCAGAAGACACAGGGAAAGGGGAGAGAGACAGTAAGAGACAGAGGGAGAGAAGGACATGCAAACACAAAACAAACATGTGGTGGTTTCTACCTGGAACCTCCTCATGTCTCTTGGGTTTCCTGCATTCTTTAGACAGTTCTGGTTGCACTTAAGGAAAAACTTAAGGAAGAATCTGCAGAGACAGAGAGAACAGGCAATATTTGAGGTTAACAGTGAAACATTAGACCAGAGATTGCTTTCCTTCAGGTTATGTGAACTAAAGCTCAGTCTCCAGCATACAGTACAGACAGAACCCCAAAATACAGATAGAGAAATTAATATTTCATACTGTTGGAAAGTCAAAATGAATTTCCTTGTGAAATATCCTGGTGGATATGTAGAACATGTTTTTTGTTCTCAAATCCAAACCGACTGAGGCTGCTTTGAAATGCCACAAAAAGGCTTTGGATGAACATACAAGAAGGCAAATAAAGCAGCACAATCCAGCAAAACTGTTGAAAATATATGACTGTGAGCCAGTTGAAGTTTGAGAAAACCTCAGGTTTGACCTTTAGTTTTATACTTTTGTGAATCCAAACTTCCAAAGACTTGCCCTTCATCCTCAATGATTGTTAGCACCATGGGAAGGACAACTGTATCGGTATTTAGAATATGGCTTAAAAACCAAAGGTGCTTGATAAGATTCAGAAACAATTTCAAAACAACTTTTCCACTCGTGAAAACGCCTAACGCCTAACACTGATGTCAGATCATTAAAAAAGGGGAACTATGTTGACATTGGGTGTTTGAAACGGGACCATATGTCATGAATCTATATTACAGAATAAATCAAACACACAGATGGCCATCAACAGCTAACAAACACATCCAGGTTGTGTTTTGGTGTGAGCCAGCTGGCCAGCCTGGCAGAAGCAACAAGGCACACTCACACAATAACACAGACACACACAAGTTCATGTTTGCATGTACGTTTGTGTTTATTACATCTGTGTGTGTGTTACAGCTCAATAAAAGCAATACCCTTGCACAACCTCACATGCAGGGCAATATTTCCTCTGGCACTCACCTCTGCATTTAAACCTTTTCCATCTGATTCTGTTGCATTATGTATTCATACACAAAAACTTTTTTGCACTCTCTTGCAACAAAAACATAAGTTCCTATTATATTTGGTTTCATCACAGAATGTCCACCGTCTGTATCTAAACTGCATACAGTACTAAAATAATTTGAACTTCTCACAAGTCTGCATAACCTCAGTTCCCTCGTGCTCTAATGTTCAAGAGATGACAGCCCTTGTAGTGGACCACGAGAACAAAGCAGAGGTGTGGGCTTCTTTGTGTGTGTGTATATGTGTGTGTGTGCAAACATGTACTCCTCATGTGAGTGTATGTGTGTGTGTGACGGTGCAGCACAGCCCAGTGGCAGGTCTGAGTGTAAAACTCTGCGTTAACGAGCTCAAGCTTCGTTATAACACCGGCGCCGGGATTCTGCATGCCTAATTATCTTGACCCCTCACCCCTGGGTGACAGCCTATCACAGCGGAGGACAGCCACGGTGACCCCTGCTGACCTCCCACTGTCTAGTCCTTCTCACAACACTAGCATAGCGTTAACACGACCACCTCAGCTGACCCCCGCTGTAACTCTCTGTGTAATGGAGGCGGTTGGGAGGCTCACACACTCCCTTAAATATGAAAAAGACTAAAGCAGCTATGGAAGAAGTGTTCAGAGCTTTTAGAAATATTCCACTACAAGTAGAAGTCATGAATTTAAAAATCTAGTGTGAGTAAAAATAATATATACTCAAGCACAATATGTTAAAGTACTCTGATAAATAAATGTAAAAGAACAGTGTTTATGATTTAGTGGCATCTAGTGGTGAAGTTGCAGATTGAAACTAACTGAACACCACTCGCATCTGTATTTCATGCCGTGAGAATATGAAAGGCCCTATCTGCCGCCAGTGTTTGGTTTGTCCGTTACAATATGATACAAGCATAAAATTCTGTGTTTCTTCAGTGGCTGACTCTGGTTTTAGTTAGTAAATAATAAGTTATCCCTGGCCTCATGTAACTTTACATAAAAATGATTTGAATGAACTCCACACAGTGTGGTCTACAGACTTAAAAACAAAAGCACTGGCTTTGGATCTGAAGAAACCCTGAGTTGAGGTATATCAGAATCAGTACTGGTGCATCCCTCTCATCCAAATGCATTGTGTATCATCAAACATTTGTTTTAATAAACATGTTTCAAAACTTGCATTGTTCACATCAGCTTGTGGGCTTCTTCTACTTCTCTTTTACTGGCACACTGCTGCCTCTTTAAGCTCAATACTGCCGCCAACCATTACTGCCCTCTAAAGAGGTTCAAGTTTCTGCCTTCTGAACCTTGTACTTGTTTAGGACCTGTTTATCAAAACATTCCTGTATAGCACTACTAGTGGCCAACAGCTCCACAGGGCTCCATTAAGTGCAGTGCTTACATGTAAATGTACTTCTTCACTTAACACCTCTGTACCCCTGTTTCTGCTGCATCCAGAGGTAACTGAGGAAGGTTCTTCTCTCTAAAGCTGCACCACTGAAAAAGATAGTGATGACTTAAAACATCATCGTAATCTCGTGTGACCCATTAATTTATTAATATCAATCCGCTCTCACAATATATTCACAAAGCAAATAATTTCCCTCTATCGTTGGAGTTCTGATGATATCGCTCGTTATTTTTCGTATTTCCATCTATTGCTCGATCTATTTCCTGTGAGAGCGTTTTATCTCATTGATTTCCAACAGAACATATTCTACATTTTAATGCAGTATGTGTGCGTTTCTCTTCCCCCTTCACTTGACCCCATCTGGCCTAATCAACTCAGCTACAAAAAGGCCCCGCAGCTACACACACACAGGCACGCACACACAGACACCTTGTGTGAATTGATTGGCTGGTCCAGTCACTGGTCGTTAAGAGGCCTCCAATTAAACTGGGCAATTATAAGAGTCTGAATGACTGTGGGGGAGGGGAGAACTCTCTCCCTCTCTCCTCTATCTCACTCCCTCTCTCAGAGGCCCGATCATGTTCAAGTGATAACAGCGCTGTTGACCTTTGCTATACTGTGAGTACCACACTCAGAGAGCTGACCCGACACACCACTACTGCATGCTACAAACACACAAAGAGACTCTCTCTCTCTCTCTCTCTCTCTCTCTCTCTCACACACACACACACACACACACACACACACACACACACACACACACACACACACACACACACACACACCATCTGGATAGGAAAGTGTAAGAATGGTAGTATGCAGAGAGTAAAATCTATAGATGGAAGGAAGTAGGAGGTAAGATGGAAAACCAAAGTAGAAGCTTATCTTTTTACACTTTTTTATTATTATGTTTGCCATTTTGCCTTTTTTTATTCTAATAGAGAGTGAAACATGGGGAAAGGCAAAAAACAATGAGTGTTTTCATTGTAGTAAGGCACTGTCATGAACACCAGAACAATCAACTGCTGCAAGTCATGGTAAAGTATATGTGAATGATGATTCATTTAAACCCTATGAAAACTACAAAAGATTTTATATTATGGTCACAAAAATATTAACCTTGTGAGGCAGTTAGACTTGCTAGATTGCGAGATCACACGAGAATCCATCTTGCCAGGCTTCAGTCTATGCTTTTATGGCCAAACCACGTGGTACCAGACCAACCAGCGTCCTTTGAAGAAGAACTGGCAGCTACGGGGCGCGTAGAGGTTAGCGTAGATGCTGCTAGCCTCATTTATATCAGGACTTAAGAGCATTTCTTCAGTGAAAGAAGAGATAGTGAGGAGAGCAGTGAAGGGCACTGACGGCTTCTCTCGAGGGAAAAGATGTTTTCACTCTTTTTCCGACTGGTTTCAGTAAGAGTTTGACTACATTATATGGTTTATTGATCTCATTGATTTTATGTAACAAACCATCTGGCACAGTCCGGTTAGTAAAATACAATGGCTTTTTTTTTTTTTAATCTACAACTTACAGGCTCTGACACATTAAGTTATTGTATGTATAGGGTATGTTTTGTTTTGCACAAGGGTCTGGAAGTAAAGGTTGGAAGGTACTGGGATCATCATGAATTTTATTAATTACACCAGTGCTTTACCTTTAAATCAGAATGTCTGCTGTAAAAAGGGGAAATTTTATTTGGCCATTGAAGGGAAAGAAGAATCACCACATCATGCAACGAACCAACCATCACGGTATACGACATTATCACTTTATAAAGCTGACATTGCTAAGTTAGAAAACACTGCCTACTCAGCAGATACAGAGCAACATTAGCATTGATTTGGGGTCCTTTTAGTCCAATACTCACTTTCCTTATGGTTTGACTCCTGAGAATAATACCTGGTTCATTAACTGTGGGTTCATTTCACCTGCTAACTTTGTTAACAGCTTCCCGCTGTGGTGAACCAATGAAATCTATAACCATTAAGTAAATTACACAGTTTACCACTGTGCAATGCCAGTTTTATTTCAGCCTGTAAAAAATGGTGATGAAGTAGGCCTGTAGTGTCATTCTGGAGCTTCTGAGCTAAAATGTAACCCATAATGCTGTCATCCAGAGTTGAATGCTAGTGGGGGTTTTTAAGCTTGTAGTTACTGTTGTTTCTCTTAGCCATGATAATGTAATCAACCAGGATGCTAGTGTTATTTAGCCTGTAATCCATAGTAACGCAGCAAACCACAGTTGGATGCTGCTTTTTTTTTAGCCTGTTAGCCATGGTGTAGTAGTGAACGGCACAGTTACATCCATTATTCAGAGGCTGAGATGGCAATTATGGCTCAGAGCACAACTGACATTAATATTTAATATATAGGGCTAACACAGACCTGAAGAGAGAGACAGGAAGTGACAGAGAGAGGGGAGGGAGAGGGCGTCGGGATGGAGAGAGAGAGAGAGAGAGAGAGAGAGAGAGAGAGAGAGAGAGAGAGAGAGAGAGAGAGAGAGAGAAACACAGTGGAGAAGAGCATGGGATACAGAGAATGTGTGAAGGAGAAACAAATGGAGGAGAGAATGAGGAAAGAGGATTATGGAAGTTTTGTTTCGGCTACTCTCCTGTCATTTAAACAGTTTCAATGCCAATGGGGCAAGGGTGACATCCGGGGGAATTCCAGCCT